TCTGTGAGGCTGAAAAAGTCTACCTCAATTATATTGTCGAAGTCCTCATCTGGGATCTTGGGAAGACAGCACTTCCGGCCCATCAGTTCGGGCTTCTTATTATATTGGCGGAACTCATAGTTCTCCCGCCTGCTGGGAGCCGTCAACAAGTAGAACGTGTGCTTCCAGCCGTCAAATTTAGAGACCTTGTCTAAGGTCATCATGTATTGGGGATACGTGGTTAAAGTGTACCACGCCCTCCAGCCGCCTGGGCTTCGGCTAAGATAATGCATCTTAGAAAAAGCTTCCCAGCCGGGATGGAGCCCCTGGAGTTCGCAAGCGGCAACATACCCCAAGATGTTTGCCCAAGAATTGGGGGTAAGTTACCAGACTCCGAGGCCGTAGCCTCTCAAGATTGCCTTCACCGCCTGGTGAAGGGGAAAGCGAAGACCGGCCTTGAACGCCGCCTCATAACAGCCGAAGTAGCTGTTGGCGTTCTGTTGATTGTCTTACCAGGCGATGGTGCCGTCCTCAGGCGGCACTCTGATTTTGTACCCGTATCCTAACGGGTGCATTTGTTTAAATCTTTTTAGGTTGTCCTCCATGTGACCCCTGCCCTTGGCTGAGACGTGGATTTTGAAGGGATCGTCCTTCTCACTCCACTTCTTCCTCTCCTCTTCCTCACTATCTTCAAGCGGTGGCAAGTCGTCACTGCTCTCAGAAGTGGAAGTGGAGTTGTCGCTCTCCGTCTCCTCCTCATTTTGTGGTGAAGGAGCTGAGACGGCTTCATCGCCGCCTTGGTCGCATTTTCCACAAAGGAATCTGTGGGAGTTGAAGGGGCACGCGGAGGGGATCTCTCCAGAGCCGTCTGGTTTCTCTGAATAGACGCTTCTCCCTCAGGAATTTGCCCGCCTGAGCCCTCGCTTCTGTAGTCCGGATCGGGGGTCGTCTGCATAGTCCGAGCCATTGTTTCCTGCACATAACACGTAAATGGTCGGAATCCAAGCAAAAGGGTGGTCCCAGCACCCCGAGACGGCACTCCCAGTCCTAGACTCAGCCGTCCCTGGTGACCGACTGGACTCTAACCTAGGCTGTGTCGTGTGTATTGGTGATACATCCATTTATTGCAAGAAATATGTACAAGCGGTGAAACATGAAAAAGAGCTGAGAGAAGCAGAGACAGTACCTTTAGATTTGATTCTGAAGATAGACGGGTCCGGCTAGGTTGACGAGAACGAGTTTTCTTACTTGCGCTTGACTCAGACGGCTGACTTCTCCTCTCTCAAAGTTCTCTCTCGAAATTTTTTTGTAAACGTACAAAATTATGAGGGTAAACGGCTATATATAAAGGGTAAATGCGGGGGCATCCCCGTATTTACTCAGAAGTTGAACTGTTACTTTTTGGCGGTAAAATTACCACCAACCGGAGCGTGACGCGTGTCACAGATGCCACGTGGCGTGCCACGTCACATCTGTGAGGGACAAATGTTTAGGGTAATCTTACCCCGCCACGTGGCCCAATCAAAGGATGACACGTGTCAGCCCCAGGATGGCCCAAAGTGGACCTATTCCTGCTTGACACGTGTCACTCTAGAAACTTGGGGGCAATGGCGGCCTTCAGGCCCAAATCCCAAGAAAGCCGCAATGCGACGCAGCCCACCAATGATTAGGGTTCAGTGACCTAATCAAGGGCACAAATCCCGAGGACCCTATAAATAGGGAGATTCCCCTCTTTTGGAGGGCACGTTTTACCATTTATTACAAATTGTCCCTGTGATAGAGACATCTAAGCTTGGAATCTGAGTAGATACCCACCTAAATTTCCGCACCTTTTTCTCTCCCTTCAAGTTACTAACTTGTTCGTCGGAGGTGGAGCACCACCCAACCGGTGTCTCCGTTTGTTTTGCAGGTACAGGCCGCACCGGACCAGTCTTTGTGTAATAACTCTCCCGAGGAACAAAAACACCCAAAACATTAGGCATGACTCAAAATACTTTTATATATTAATTTAAATATGCCTTTAAATATATACTATCCAAAATAATAATAATAATAATAATAAAAGTTTACCAAATATATGTTTTGAGTACTACATATAAATATGTAAAAAAAAAATAGAGATAACAATTTGAAATAATAAATTTATACTCTATCTGTCTATAAACTCATTTTTTTTGACAAATCACAAAATCAAGTTTCATTTAATCTTACTGTTTAACCGCTAGCTAGTTCACTAAAATATGATATGGGTCATTCTTAACCTAATCTATTTCAACTTCTAAAATCGTATATTTTTCTATGGCTAATACTTAATACATGAGTTACAACTAATTAGATTGGTTTATGGTTAAAGTAAATTCGGACCCTTGTCACATAAACTTATACTATACCATACCTATCTGGTCTAAAAATTGTACCCTTAATTAATAATACTCCGTATGACGGTATGAGCAATCTTTTAAGGACGTACTAAAAGGAAAGGACTAACTTTAAGAGATGGCGGGAGTAATGGTGGGGCTTTTAGATTTGTAGGGGTGTGAGACAGCTGAGGGTTGATTGCCGTTGTAACACAATATATTGCTCACACATTTGCTGTTTTGTTGTTGTTTATTTGGTACATTAAATGGACAAATTCAAGCCTGGCAGAGGATGCTACGCGCTTGGCCCTTTTTGCCAGCCCACATCCTTCACCATATCCGTTGTATTCTTAGTTGGGCCTTGTCCCTCAATTGTCTATCACACCTTCCATTAAGGCCAGTTTATAATTCCTTAATTATGAATCAAAACAATTAAATTCACCAAATTATTTAGTAAAATTTGAATTTATAATTCGTATGGTATTATTTGGCGGGATATTTGTAATTGTCGATTCAATACTTGCTTGTTTTATGTTCTATTTTCTATTTCAAATGTTATAAATTTTAAAAAGTAGAGGAGTATGTACTGTGTTACTTAGTTGCCTCATTAGGGCATGTTCAATTCAGTTTAATTTCAATTCAGTTAAGTTCAATTCAATTCAATCCCTAATTTCCTTATCTCATAAATTATTAAGTTCAGATCAGTTTAGCTCCAATCAGTTTAGTTCAAATCAGTTCAGTAAATGTGAACAAGCCCTAAATTTCCTCACATGCGAAGAAGTATTTTGATGAACATGTGTACTATAACATATGCAGTTTTAGGAGTAAACTTAATGGTAGTTCCATAATAATTCTTTGCGACTACAAATTCATATCAAACGGATAGTTTAGACTTTAGAGAGCTCCAAAGGCGGAGATAATCCTTAATAAAGTGAGCAAGTTATAAGAGATTTTCTTATGCTAATGTCTTGTAAGACACAAATTAATTTTCGTACATGATCCCTAAATAATAAGGTACGATTCTTACAGTTGTTTATTGTCTGTCTAACATGAAAATTTGTCGCTAAAGATTTAAAAGATTACCTATGCAATGGTAAGAACTACTCAATAAACAGAATTATCTAGCTGTACAAACATATATGCTTTAGGTTGTTGAATAAATGGTTTTTTTAATCATAATGTTATACTTTTAGTCCATAAGGCAGTACTTTAATAATCACGGCTGTTTGGACAACGCGATATAACTACTTTCTGCTTGATTAATCAATTAATTAATTAGTTTATTAATTAATTAGTTTATTAATTAATTATTTGTTTTTCATTTTGTAATATTATTTTGTTAGTTATTCTGCTTTCGTAGAGTGTTCCCCTGAATCAAAGGCAAGTTGTACAGTTGATGTTGGGTAGGTTAAAGCACTAGCTCTAAACGCGGCACATTTAATTATTGTTAATTATTATTTGCATGAAATTGGGCGGTGGAATTAATCATTTTAAAGATATTCTACTATTAAAAATAAACCAAAGTTGATTTTTTTTTTTTTTTTAATTGAAAAAAATGAATCAATTATGTCGATTCTGACCTTATAATATAACAAATTGAACTTTCAATTAGATTTGAATTTATATGCTTAAAGACTTAAAGTTGGAAATTAAAGTTAAAATTCATAAACTTACAAGTCTAAAATTTTTAAACATCCCTGAATTTAAATTAAATTTCATAAACTTACAAGTCTACAAACTTAAAACATCCCTAAATTTGAGAATAAAAATTTACAAAGTCATATGTGAATGTGTTTCATCACCATAATTTATTTATATATTTTTTTAATTTTTGGTTTTGGTTTTGGTTAAGTTGAAAATAAAATTATTTAATGTACTCCTCTTGTCTCTAAAAGTTAATTTAGTATGAGTAAATATAGAATATTTCCATATTTTATGATAGTACTAGGTAAGATTCATATGAAAGATTGAAAGTTGTCAATCTAGCTAATAAATGATACTTTGATTCCTAGTAACAAAAATTCTTTGTTAAATTATACATGGAAGATCACCCTATTTAGTTCATCTTACTTTGAGATGAAGAAATAAATTTAGATTATGAGAAATGAGATAAATTAAACTTAACTATACTACATTAAGTTTTATGCCTTTAAGTTTCTTTATACAATTAACTCGTTTTATTTATACAATTGAAATTCAACAATAGATTCATCCATCTAAGATATAATAAAGTTAAATTATTGAATATGATATATCCTTTCCCCTACATTCCAATCAAGAAGGATCACAAAGAATTACTATTATAAACTTGTTGATTAAGAATAAACCACTACGGAATACTAAATTATACGCTAATTAGTAATTACTCTTTCAACAAAAAATAAAAAAAAAAATACCTTAATTAATAATTAAGGTTAAGAAGAACTTCTAGTTGTATAGTTAGTTATAGTTACCATACCCTGGCATTTAATTAGCCGTCCATAGGAATTAACAAAGAATGTTCGAGCTAGCTTATTATAATTATCCTTTTATTTTTGGGTAGTACGAATTATTAGGTGTTCCGGGGAACATAGTGGACAGTACAATGAACAACCGAAGTAAAAGAGGGCTGAATTTTCTTTTACCTTTAACATTGAAGAATGAAGACAAAATGAAGCACAAAAATTGTAATTCCAAAGAAATTCTTGATCTTTTTCTTTCATCAATATATATATTTACATATAGGATCTTACAGAACTCTTTGTGCCAAAAAAAAGGTGTTCCTTTTGAACTTATAAGGAGCATTATATACATGAAAATGAGATGCTATAGATCAAAAAGCTGATCATCTCCCAAATTTACATGAAAAAAAATTTACTCCTTTTCCAAAATTATAAAAGAAAAAGGGAAAATAAAATTAAAAACTCCATTTACCCAAAAAGTAAAAAAAAATTAAAATTAAAATCCTTTGATTTTTTAGGTTTAGGCTAAGCAACCTAACCCTCTTGCATCTGATCCTTTCATAATTCTTAGCCTTTTGCAAGAATTAATGAACATATCCCAAGGTACATCTCCTAATAACATCCAATCTCCATCTTTGTCTTCATAAGTTGGTACAAATTCTGATCCATTGTATCCTTCTCTTTCTGAGTAATCACCTATTATAATGAACAAAAAAAAAGTTAGTAAATTCATCAAAATATGGGATTTATGACAACATGTAATAATATCATTTGAATCGGTTTTGAATGTTACTTAGTTAAATGGCATATGTATATCTTTAGATGCGATGTGATTTGTTGTGGTGTATTTTTTTTTTTTTTATGTTTCAACTTTAAATCTCTTGTAATTTATTTGAACTTATCAGGATTTACGGAGTATAAAGTACAAAGTGCTTACCAAGTGTAACTTTGAACATGTCTTGTAACGCCTTGAGAAGTTCGGAATAACAATTGTACAATTTCATGTCAATCTTTCTAAGATAAGGAGCTCCATCCATGCTAACTTTTACGTAAACTCCTCCAACTTCTGCCTCTTTTTTCATTGCTTGAAGGCAATTTTTTCGGTACGATCTAATTGGTGGCCATCCCATAACTTGTGCCCTATAATAATAAAAATATGACAAAAAATAATTAGTAATCCATTAATTGTAACACTTAAAAAATATATAAACATAATTTCATAAATTTTATTTTTTTATAAGAATTAAAAAAGAAGAAAAATGCTTACTTTGGAGGAGGAGCGGTTTTATCTTCAGATTTATCAACATTTGAAGTAGTGCTTTCTTCCTTAATATCAGAAAATGATCTTTTATTATTCTGATTTTTGAACTCGGTTCCCGGTAATCCGAGTCTTAATTCGGTATCTTGATGATCAACTTTCTTGTTCATCTCCATTTGATCTTCAAATTCAAGATCTAATTAAGCTTGATGAGTAAATGAAAGATTATATAATATGGTTGAAAATATGTAATTTTATGAAAATATTATGTAATGGGTTTGTATTTGAAAATTGGAATGATAAAGGAATATGTTTTGGGGTTAAGGCTATGGTATTATATATAGAGGTATATTTAGTAGGCTAGTAGCACAACTACTAATAATAATTGAAAATTTTGTAAGATTCCAAAGTTGTAGACATGAAGAATAATCATTGCTGTAGTGTACCTCACGCTGCGTTTTGATTGGTAGACAATGTTTTTAATACATTAATACATTGTCTCATTTCTTGACCTAACACCATAAACTCCTCTATTTTTTTTTTATTTTTTTTGTGATGGAAATGTGATTATATTTAATGGTTGAGTTAATTTGGGACCCTTTTATAAATACGGGATAGCTAACTTAGGGTCTGTTGTCATATGTTTATTTTCAGCTCAGTTCAGTTCAGCTCAGCTTAGTTCAGTTCAGTCTTTTATAAAACATTCATTTCAGTTCAATTCAACTCAGCTCAGTTCAGTTCATTTCAGCTCCTAATTTCCTTCTCTTATAAAATATTCATTTCAGTTCAGCTCAGCTCAGTTCAATTCAGCTGAGTTCAGTCTATGAGACACATGCCCTTAGTTAGTAAATTACTTAGAGATCGTAGTATCGTAGGATCTTGTTTGGTAAAAAGATGATTGATATGATTTAAGCTCTTGAGAGCAATTAGATGGTTAGTTTGACCACATAATAAGTCGCTATGGTTCAAAACCTGTTGTGCGACAGCGGAAGCAAAGGTCGTAAACAAACAAGAAAACAATAAAGAAATTCAATGCAAACAATAAGAACAACACCAAGAATTTACGTGGTTCACTATCGATGTGATAGCTACGTCCACGGGCACCGAGATCGAATGATTTCACTATAAACTGGCAAAGATTACAAAGATTACAATGAAGAACTTAATCACTCAAAGTATTCTCTCTCTTGTGTTTCTCTCTCCGTTACCCTAATAATGATAATAGGAAGTTTATATAGTAGTGATTCCTAATTAAGATATACTTAGGTTACAATATCACAATATGATAAATATTAAATTCGTAATCGCTGAAAAAACCCAGATCGCCCGGTCGGGCGAAGGCCCGCCCGATCGGGCGCGAGAACACGTCTTTTCCAACAACCGAAGTACTCCAAGAAACCCCTTCCGCCCGGTCAGACCGGGCAATGTCCGCCCGGTCGGGCGAAGGCTCGCCCGGTCGGGCGAAAGCTCGCCCGATCGGGCGCGCGAGAGCAGCTTCTTCAACGAATTTGCCAGGCACCTCTTCTTCTTCCGCCCGGTCAGACCGGGCAATGTCCGCCCGATCGGGCGGACAAAGCAACGAAGTACGAGTCACCTAATACTTATCAACAATCTCCACCTTGACGAGAACTCGTAGTCAGCAAACGACCCCATCAAGACATAGTGAAAAAACATCTCAAGCCAAACCCGATGCAGGACTCATGCATAAGCCATACATCCCGATAAGTCTTCAACCAAGACCCATCACATACTCGTCTCCAAGTATAACAACTCATAATGCTCCACCTGCATCACAAGCCCCGGGCAAGCTCCACCTTAAGGCCAACACACCTACACCAGGAGCTCCCCAACTTCGCCCCTCAGGGCCTACTACATCACGTAGTAATCAATATTTAGCAAGTCTAAGCAATGTTTAAACTTGCTAAACGGAACAGGCTTAGTGAAGAAATCAGCCGGGTTGTCAGCAGTCCCAATCTTCTTCACCTTAATCCTCTTGTCAGTACGTAAGAAATGATACCTGACATCAATGTGCTTCGTCCGATCATGGTGTACTTGATCTTTAGCTAAGCAAATCGCACTTAGACTATCACAATACACTGTAGCAAAATCCTGTGCAATACCCAGTTCACCTACTAGGCCTTTGAGCCAAATAGACTCCTTAGCTGCAGAAGTTAGAGCCATATACTCAGCTTCAGTAGTTGACAACGTAACTGATGACTGCAATGTAGACTTCCAACTAACCACAGAACCACCCAAAGTGAACACATAACCAGTCACAGACCTCCTGGTATCCACATCAGCTGCATAATCAGAATCACTGTACCCAGTGACCAAGCATTCCCTACCATTCCCGTACACAAGACCAATATCAGTTGTCCCTCTCAGGTAGCGAAAAATCCTTTTCACCCCTTGCCAGTGTTCCCTCCCAGGTCGAGCCATAAACCTGCTTACAACACTAACAGCATGCGCAATATCCGGCCTAGTACAGACCATAGCATACATCAAACAACCAACCGCATTTGCATATGGAACTCTAGACATATAAGACAACTCCTCCTCTGATTGAGGTGACATAGACAAAGACAACTTACAACTAACAGTAGTTGGCGTACTTATAGGCTTCGATTTTTCCATCCCAAAACGAGACAAAATCTTTTCAATGTAGCTTTTCTGAGTCAAGAAAAGCTTACCTCTAGCCCGATCCCTGTAGATCTCCATACCCAAAATCTTCCTAGCTTTTGTACCACTGTCGGGGGGATTGCTTAAGTCCATACAATGACTTTAGCAATCTGCAGGCATAGTGTTCCTTTCCAGGAACTTCGAATCCTTCGGGCTGCTTCATCAGAATCTCCTCCTCCAAATCGCCATGAAGGAAAGCCGTTTTAACATCCAACTGCTCCAGCTCAAGATCAAAATGTGCTACAATTGACAATAACACACGGATAGAAGTATGTCGAACCACAGGTGAGAATATCTCAACAAAATCAACCCCTTCTACCTGACTGAACCCCTTAGCAACTAGCCTAGCCTTAAAACGTATTTGCTCAGTTTCCGACAACCCTTCTTTCTTCTTGTAAATCCATTTACAACCCACAAGCTTCCTCCCTTCCGGTACCTTTACCAGTTCCCACACTCTGTTCTTGTAAAGAGACTGCATCTCTTCACCCATTGCGGCAAGCCATTGCGCAGACTCACTACAACTAATTGCTTGTTTATATGTGGCAGGTTCAAATGACTCTACATCATCAGCTACACTCAATGCATAACCTGTCATCGCATCAACACAGCAATTTCTTCCCTCCATCTCTTCAATCAATCTAACAGGCTTCTTGATAACTCGTTTAGGCATCTCAAGAATGGTGTCAGGTTGACTAGATGACCCCTGATTAGATTGCTCCACCTCATCCCCAGAGTTAGAATGAGTAGGAGTAATCTCAGGTTCAGGAGTACCCGGCACTGGAACATCAGCATCATCATCAATATATTGTACCCGAGGTAAATCAGCAATGGTAGACTGATGTACCTCAAGTACCCCATCTGTCTGTAATAAATTGTCTCCTTCCCTTCTCAAATCTGAAATCTCTGCATTTTTAATTGAATACATGGTGTTTTCATCGAAAGTAACATCCCTACTAAGAATGACCCGACCCTCCGAAGGTGAAAAAATTCTAAACCCCTTCACACCATCCCCGTACCCAACAAAACACCCCTTCTTGGCTCGTGGATCCAGCTTACCCTCAATAACATGATAATAAGCAACACAACCAAAAATCTTCAAATTCGAAAAATTAGGCAACTTACCACTCCAGATCTCAAACGGAATTTTGGAATCAATTCCAGAATGAGGACCCCTATTAATGACATAACAAGCTGTTAACACAGCTTCACTCCAGTACCTCCTCCCAAGCCCTGCATTAGAGAGCATGCATCGAACTCTCTCTAGCAGTGTCTGATTAACCCGTTCTGCTACACCGTTCTGCTGTGGTGTCTTCCTGACAGTATGATGCCGACCTATACCCTCATCTGCACAGAACTGATTAAACTCGTCTTTGCAAAACTCTAGCCCATTGTCCGTTCGTAGCTTCTTGATCTTCCTTCCTTGTCGATTTTCCACCAAAGCTTTCCATTGCTTGAAAACTTTGAAGGCCTCATCCTTTGACTTAAGCAACCTAAGCCATGTGTATCGGGACTTGTCATCAACAAATGACACAAAATAGTGGTAACCTCCCATACCTTCAACTCTAGATGGACCCCAGCAATCTGAATGGATGTAATCGAGCACTGCATCAGTAATGTGAGCACCCTTGCTGAACTTTGACCTGTGTTTCTTACCAAACACACAATGCTCACAAAATTCAAGGTTGGCAACCTTGACCCCGGATAGAAGACCCCTCTTGGACAATAGCTGCATCCCCTTCTCCCCCATATGACCAAGCCTCATGTGCCAAATCTTAGTCATCTCCTGGTGAGATACAGATGCGCAAACCGCAGAACTAGGCAGTGTAACACCCTTAAAAACATAGAGGGTGTTCCTTTTGATACCCTTAAGTACCAACTCAGAACCTCTGAAAATACACAACTCCCCATCTGAAAACACACCATTGTACCCCAAGTCATCCAGGGTACCCAATGAAATCAGATTCTTTCCTAAAGCAGGAACATGCCGTACATTAGTCAAAGTTAACCTCCGCCCATCAACAGTCCTCAACCTCATGGAACCAATACCTGTGACCTTACATGGAGCATTGTTACCGACTATAACCATGCCCCCATTGCGAGGTTCATATGTATCAAACCAATCTCGACGTGGACACATATGGAACGAACACCCTGAATCTAGAACCCAGTTATCAGATAAATCATCAGACCTAGCAGAACTGACTAATGCTAAATCTTCCTCTGAATTATAGCTCTCATTCGGTTTCTCTTCAACTACAGCAGCCTGGGACTTGTTTTTCCTCACCGGACAATTATTCCTAAAGTGACCCGGTTCTTTACAGTAATAACATGTTTTAGTAGTAGTTTTACTAGATCCATCCTTGCCGTTTCCAGCACCCGACCCAGCATTGTTCCCCTTGTTAAACCCCTTATTCTTTTTAGACTTTCCGGACTTAACAAACAACCCACTACCATTATCCCCATTATCACTCGTAGCTTTCATTCTGAGTTCCCTAGTATGAAGTGCTGCCTTCACTTCTTCTAAGGTTATAGAATCCTTACCAACAACAAAAGACTCTACAAAATTCTCAAAGCTAGACGGTAGAGATACAAGTAAAATCAACGCAGCATCCTCATCATCAATTTTAACATCTAAATTACGTAAATCAAGCAAAATAGAGTTA